TTTTTTTTTTACATAAATTATTTTATACGACACACGCCTTTTATTATTACGTCTTTTGTCAAAGAAAAAAAATGCTTGCATATTTGTCAAAGTTGGTAGGAAAAAAACAATAATATTTAGGTGTATAATATATGTCTACTTATGTTGTGAATCATATTTTTATCAGATGGTTATACTTACTCGGGATTATTTGCACCATGCAACATGTCTCCGGCCTGAGATGCCTTACAAACCTGAAATATAACCCAATAATAAGCTTCTCAAATGATCGATCTTTCCTCGACTTCAAGATTTATAAAATATATAATTTTGAGATATATAAGTAAATTAATAAGATCACCTCAGAGAAAACTTCCTTAATAGCCGTTGTCCAATCTCCCAGTGATTTTATATAAGTTATTGAAAATGGATGCCTGCCACATATATAATATTATGATCAAATAAATTGCAAATATATTAGAAATAGGTCTAGGGTTCTTGACTTGCGTACCACTCAAATTGTGAGATTGCTGGACATTTTATGAACATGTATTGACCACTCTCGTATTCAAAGTTTGAAGGTCTTGACATGTGCAAAGTCAATACGTTTCCTGGATAACTCACGGCCTTAACAACTGTTACTGTCCAAATGTTGGATCTGAATGCTCGTATCAATCTTTCACATGCATAGAGAGCTACTGGTACTGCCAAGTACATCCATGTCTACAAACAAAACCTCTCAAGTTAGTTACATTTCTCCAATGGTGAGATTATGATTGCAAAATCTTGAAGTGCTCGAAGAGTACAACTCACCGTTTTCTTGTACCATTTCTTACTAAGATACAAGTTGTATCCGTGAATGACAAGGTGAATGTAGACTAGAACAAACAAATGGTGACTATACCAAAAGGCATTGAAGCTAGCGAGTTTCTTTAATGGTACCGGAAGTTGTTTTTGTAGCTTCCCTCGTCTAAACCAAGGCGTAGCAAGCGTAAAAGCAATTACCATCAAGAGACACATTACTAGCCCTGTTATTCCTTCTGTTGATTTCACAAAATGTAAGTATCTCTTTGGTTGTTCTTCCCCGAAGAATTTGCCTAGAGGCATGTATGCCTCCGGACTTGCCGCGATTAGCCGTGGGAAATCGCATGCCAAGTGGGTTAACGAGTGTATGCCTACTCCTATCGCAATCCCCACCGCTATAACCTATAGTTTTAGGCGTCAAGTTACTGTAAAATGTTATCAAGAATGAGAGAAATTCTTGCATTTAATAAGAAAGTGCTATTTTTGTAATTATATAAGTACTCAACATAAATTCACAAACTA